GGGGGGGGGCCATGTTGTACCGTCAGCACTCAGCAGATGAAACTCAAGGCGGAACCAGACAATTGGTACACTCCAAGTTGAGATTTTCGACGGGATCAAAAGAGCAGAATTTCGCCAATTGCCAGCATCCACGCGGTTGACAAAGACCCTGAGTGGTCAATGGACGCAGTGGCGGGCTTAGCTCGGGGCACGTCCATTGGGAATCATGCGATTCACAGGCGTGGGTAAGACAATCAATCTCTCGCAGTGGGACTGAGAAGGGCGAGCTGGAATCCGACGGATGGGACCAAATGGAGACGAGAGACCATCGGTAGCACGTTTGAAACCTGAGTCTTGGACCGTTGGATAAGCTGAACGTGGCCGAGGAGTGGGAAGGAAGAGAGGGGAGGATCCAGACAGAGGATCGGAGATGCACTCCCGTTGGACCATCACGCGCTCACTAGGCCTGTTCAGGGTTAGGCCGCTGCCCCGTGACTCAGATCGTGGGTTCCATCTCTCGATTGGCCAATCCCGATCTGGCTAGCTGGCCGAGCATGACTCCGCCAGTCCGTTTGTGGTCACCACCCACTCACGCTGAGAGATCCTCTTTCAGTAAATTCTGTAAGCGATGCCATCTCCTCTCTGGCACTCAAATCAATATATGCAAGTCGGGCCGAGGAAGAAACTGGGAAGTGTCAAACTCTAAAGGATGTATTTCCTCTTTTTTAGGGCCAGAATCCTTGGTAGGATACTATAAAGTTAAACGGACGGAGTGCTCAACCCTTTCAGGTCAACAATGATGCGAGATACTACCTAGTTTTAGTCCAGGCTGAACTCTAATAGAGTCGGTAGAAGTAGTAGGTAAGGTACTTTTGCCTCCGTGGAAATAGCAACAAAACAATATGGATCCAGCTTGCGAGCGTCTTATCCCGTCAGCAGCAGTACGTAGCAGCAAGAGAACGCAACAACCAATTGATTGTCCGCCAAATCCTTCCGGTTAACACCTGCGGGATATCCCCCCTACTAACCTTACTGCGTAAGCGTCAGAACTCAATGGTCGATTCGCCCCTTGTGTTGACTATCTACATAGTATACATCAGGATGAGTATCTGTTCTCAGGAATTCCGACGCAAATTTTCTTTACAACCGAGCCAGAAATCAAAAGCCCACTTAAGTTCGGATTTTGCGGGAAGTAAATTATCCTCCCGAACGACCCGCGAAAAAAAAAAAATAAAAGAGAGAACCAAACTACCAAGTGATTGATAACCATGGAAGGGAATGTTTCCAATTCCATACCCATTCCATAGAAACAGCCCTGACCCACTGTAAGCATATCAACACAGAACACACAGTAGCACAAGCATGAGCCTGCAGCAGCCAGATTAAATGAATTCGTCACCCTTTCCGGCTTGTGCTGACAGCACTGGCGTTGCCGCCCAAGTGATCGGATCCTTTTACTCCTTCATCGCATTCGTAGACATACTATTGAGATATCCAGGAAGATCCTCTCATCCTTCTACAGCCCCCAAGAATCATATTCAGAATGCGGAAACAGCCCCAGACCACATACATCCTTTTCTCTCCGCGATCAACACACGCTTCGATCATGCAATCCTGCCGTATTCCGGAGTACCTCGGCCTTCCCTCCTATGCGGTACAGCCGAGCTGCAACTGGGCTAGCCAGGTCCATGACTAGATTAATTCATATGACAGCCAATATCACCTAATTTAATTCATCGGGCACGGGCCTCACTAGAGCTCTTTTCTGTTGCATAATAGGGTGTAGCCGCGGTATGTATTCCGCAGTTTCAGGGGATAAACAATAGAGACGAGCACAACAGTACAGCACCGCATAACCCAGGAGGGCAATGAAGATGTAGTCATTAGAAAAGTGGCTGTGCGCACAGTGCAGGTGTAGCTGAAAGATGGAGCCGTGAGCCGTGTTATGGTGGTACTCTGGCCCACTCCCCTGGGAATCCTTTGGTGTGCCGAAAGATGTCCGTACTCGGACGGGGCTAATGCGGTAGTTAAGCCTGATAAGGTAGATGATGTAGCAATCTTCGCAGAGTTCTGGTCAGGAGTGTTTCTGATAGCAAAGGAGGTGGGAAGATTATTATTTTCCGCGTAGATGAGAAAATCGATAGTATTTTCCGTAGACGCACACCCACTTGTGACATCTGCACGTGTTTGCCTTGTCAATGCGTCTAGCCGGTACCTTGCATGAAATCTCCGCATTGACTATTTGCATCCTTGGATAAGCTTCTGATATATCTCAAACACCATCGCTATAATATAGTATCTGTGTAATATATGTGGTACCCTCAGTCGACAATAATATGGTTCTTGGATCCGGACTTGACCAAATGTTTTGGAGACGTGCGACTGACTCGAAGACCCAGTTTTTGATCCGACCGCTTCTTTGGCTATGATTAATCGGTGAGGGCAGTTTCGATGGGAACTATCTTATCTAATCGGGGTTTTTATCCACTGCATTGTACAGTACTGAGGGGTAGAGCCTACACTGTGCTTGTTGGTCAATTGCTAAATCAGTCAAAGCAACTAACCAAACCCTGCCTATATTCAATCGGGGGGCTGCTCAGTACCTACTAAAGACAGTGGAAATCGTTTTACTCCGAGTATTGCGTGGATGTAGAGCTTGGTGGTCATTACTTAGCTTAACTGTTCTTGGTAGGTAACAACAATGTTCGAGTCAAAGCAAGCTTCGATTATTAGTGTCAACAGTAGACCAATGGGTATGTACCACCTTATCAACAAGCCGGGTCTCACAACCCATAGCTCATAAGCTCATGCTTTATGAGGTACGGCGTACACGCACTTAGAAACATACTTGTCGACACTATGCTACTCCTCTCCCCACTGATATAACGCTTTCCTGGAAGTGAGGTGAGATAATAATACCTCTGATAAGAGCATCATCTACGCTACGCCCATTATAATATAGTTGCGATCATATCGCTAGTATATGACGCCATAAGTAGATATTGCGTGTTTAATGCTTATCATTTGGGGGTATGTCAAAGTTTCACTGAGGACATACTCTACCTGACCTGGATTATTACTCATCGAGATCTATCTGCAGCCACCTTCCTAGACATCCATATCTTATTGAACTCACACGTTTACTACTAACTGCCTCATTAAGGTTCTATACACATCTTGATATCGATGTTGAAGCTGCCACTTGCTGTATCAAAAGCCAAGAACAGCAATGGAGAAGGGCTTAGCGACCATCTCCTCCACCAGTAAGGTCCGGAAATCTGTAAGATACGTTTGCCGGGCAGAGTAATAACAATTGTGCAACTTAGAGGGGGTGAATCACCCGGATGATGAAACATAGTACAAAGTGTATCTTCGTTTAGAAATCCGTGGTCACTTTGATTACTTCCGGTTGAGCTTCGATCGTATGCCCCTCTTTGTCAAGTCTTACGCCCGGGGGAGAAAATGTCTACTCCATGCGCCGCGCTACGATGCTGACATGTTACTATCTATCTCGGAGGTTTTCTCCTCTCGGTCTAGCATTCATACCTCTGTTCATATTCGAGACAAAGATTAAAAGGACGTAAGATTCTATGTGAGCAGCACGGATCCAAGGAAGGGGAAATGCTATAGACCCTGCGGCCCCATTGGCACAGATTCTAAGCGTCCTTATCAATTTGCGACGTAGTACCAACTAGACTAAAGGCACAATTTGGACGAATGGGTATTCTATCTCTCTCTCTCTCTCTCTCTCTCTCTCTATATATATATACGGTTAGGTATCTATCCAATTTAACTGTTTATCATATAGAATCTAATTAGTACTTAACGCAGCATCCGGTTGGCTTCCTAAGTTTGAGGTAATACAGTTACGGAGCTACACGGACAGTAAGTAAGTACTTGAGCAACAAAATTGCCAATCTTTTGCTAGGATTATTTTCTCACATATGCATATATTTTTCTACCTTGGGAAAGCGACGCCTACTCGAAGTTCAGATGGATTGTGAAGCTGTCTCCAACTCTGGTCTGTTTGGACAAAGCATTTGTTCATAACTCAGCTTATCATATGTCCGTAAACACAACTGTTAGTAGATTCCCAGGAAATTTGGAGACTTAGGATGATAATCTGGCTTACTCCGAATACGCATTTAAGCTATAATATGAGATGGTATTGCACAGGGGTAATGATATCTAATAAGATTGTGCGTCATCCAGTTACCATCATATGAAGATCCACGAGTATCGAAATTCGTAGTGATGCTATCAATTCCATTTGTTTACAGCAAGCATAGTATCGTATCAATATATTCGGTTATGTTGTGGATAGCAACGCATTTCCTTTGCATCGTATCGAAGCTCATTTCCTTTGAATACTACGTCTTACTACTACACTTGGAGAAGATAGTAGATGACAGTCTTGCATTATGCCTAGTCTAATTAGCGCCTAGATGGTTCTATACTGTAGGTCAATATACGGAGATGCAGCAGCTGGGCAATGTTAATGTGTACTATTGGTGATCCTCTTCGAACAAAACAATGTAGTGGCATCTATCTGCTTTGGAGACGATATCTCTTCGATATGTTGCTATTACTCATTGTCTGGTTGCTTGAGGTAGTTATTTAGTTTAACATCAATTAGGATATGCAGGACGGACTGGATATTTCTGGGTCCGTCGATTGTAGTGTAGGTTATGCATCGTCAGTAGATCTAGTATAAGTGGCAAGATACAGGGATTAAGTCGTCGGAGTTGGACTTGTTTACTGGGATGTCTATCCAGAGTGTAATATGTCAGGCAAGCCTGATGTCATCTTACATTAGCGTGAGATGCCCATCAACGAAAACAAATAACCCAAGTACCTGCATAGTGATGAAGGTCTTAATACAACTGCTACTATGGTCCAGGAATAAACGGTCATGACTACATCTAAAACAAATAACACCATCGACTCATATGGATCGTCTTGAGTGTGTGTGTGCGGGGTAAGAAGCCCATCAATTAGATTTCATCTGTAACTAGCATAACCATCAAGGTATCCCCTCATTATCGTCTATCAACGGGGAATTTATGCAAGCAGAGCCTTGATCTTCTCCTCCAGACCCTTGGGGTTGGCACCGGTGAGGTCGTCGAACTTCTGGCCGTTCTTGAAGAGAAGGAAAGTGGGCATGGCACGGATACCGAGCTCGGCAGCGACCTCGGACAGTTCGTCGACGTCGATCTTGTAGAACTTGGCGTTGGGGTACTCGTTGCTGAACTGCTCGACCTTGGGGGAGATGGCCTTGCAAGGACCGCACCAGGTAGCGAAGCAGTCAACGACGACGTGGCCGGTGGACTCGCCAAGGACCTTCTCGTTGAATTCTGCCTTACTGTAGAGACAGTTTAGTTAGTAAGGTCTCAGAAAGGATGGAGGGGTAAGGTGTGGGGAGAGAGAGGGCGGGCATTATCAGAAGGTGCACGAGATGATGGAGTTCAGGAGAGGAAGGAATTGCACATACGACTTGATGTCGACAACCTTGTGAGACATGTTGGAGGATGTGTGAGAGAAAGCGCGACGGCTGTGGATAAACGGAGTTGAACGGAGGAAAGCGGGCGCTACTGCGGTTCTAGTGGAAGACTGGATAGAGAATCTAGCGGAGGAGGAAGAGAGAAGGCGTCGGGAGGCCAGAGTGGATGGTTTAAAACTATGGGAAGGTTGAGACGATGATTAGCTCCGAATGAGGGGCAGCCCAGCAACGGAGGGGCACAAATCGAATTTGTAGTGGAGAGTTGAGTGGCTGACACACACCCCCGAACAGTGACGTTGCACCGCCGCCTGACTAATCACTCGGGGCCTCGAAGCCTCTCGGTCACAGTCGAAGGCCAGGGTCGCTTCTGGGCAGTAGTATTGGGCTTACCAAGAGACACCTCGTGCAAGACGAAGGCGGGATTGATTTGTCAGGCTAACAGCAGACATTCTGGCTGCAATTGAATAGTAATAGGGCAATATATGGAATGATATAATCAACAGTAAATTACGGGCCGGTTGGGCAACTTGGTTGGTGGAAGAGAAAGGGGAAGGAGATGCACGAAACGGTGAAGGAAGAAACCAAAGGCAAATGACGTGCTCCCGTCGCTTATGAATCGCGACCGGTCTGGACAGGCGCTGTTGGCCTGAGGCAGCAGCAGCAACAGCCGCCATCGGCGAGTCTCTCCGATCACCTGATCCGAGTGCGGAATAACATGGCAGTATCGTTCATGGGTGCAGTTGCGCAGAGGATTAAGGAGTCGGTCATATCAAGTCGGGTAGTTTATTGTCTAGGGCGTGGGAAAATTCCCTCTGGTGATATTTACAGGCAATGGGCAAGCGGGCCATGATGTCATCCATCTCTCGAAAGATAACGAGCCGCAATACTCGAGCATATAGTACAGTCAAGACATTAAACAATAGCACGGGTGGTAATCGTAATAAGGAAAGGTGAACAGGTAGAACTTGTGTCACAATATGTGCATTGAACTGAAGAACGAGAATGCTTCGAGTCTATCAAAAACGCGTAAGTGCCCGCGATCACCACAAGACAGTGATCGGGGCAAACTCATTCAAACTTCCGCTGATGTGGGGGTATCAACAAATTCGAGAACTAACAATGCCCACCGACAAGACAAGAGCACGGACAAGACCTTTGCTTGACCCGGTGAGAGCGTTGGAGAAATATAAGCATGGCTACATCCAGCGCCATGAACCCTGAGGAAATCCGCCGGGGAAGTGGGAGGGGAAGGTGAGGGGGGGATCTGGAAGGAAAAGGAGCGACATAGGAAAGGTTTTAACGAGCGACTGGGGTATATACGCGAAATATTAGATAAATGCACCATGTTGACATCAGAATAATCTCAACACGCGCAATTATTCCTCATGGTAGCAAGGGCGTCACTAGGATCTACCTTGGTTGATCCAAGCAACGTTGCGCACAAGGTTGTCCGCTGGCGACCGGGCTCAATTTGGGCGCCCATTTGCGTGATGGTCGGACGTTTCGAGCTCAAACTCGGCAGAATGCTCTTCGATGGGGCTGAACTCTTCTTCGGCACAGAACGACTGGACATTCTTCAGGAGTCCTTCGTTGGACTTTGGACGGATTGCTGGTGTCACAAGTACAGGTCGCCGGGCGATTTGATCATGCCAGGTCTCCTCGGCTTGCTCTGGTACGCTATCCATAGGCGCATCCTTGTCAGGTGACGCACCAGCTACATCAGGACCAGATTTGGGGCTCTCCTCCTGGTTGGTCCCAAATCTGACAAGAGGTTCGCTAACTGGGGCCTCATCTCCATGGGAGGATCCCTCACGGCCCTCTTCCATGATGTTTCGCGATGAACTGAGGCTGGTGCGCAGTGGATTGCTCGCCTTTTTCTGAGATATGCGGCGTAGAAATTGTCCCGACATCCATGACCCTTCGGAGTCAATCGATGCTAACGATTGGGACAAAGGAAGATTATCCGGGTCACCTTCCCAGCTTTCGCCTGTCCAAGAATGGTGAGGATTTCTCGGGATGTCCTGTGGTTCTGATCCAGAACTGGGGATGGGATACTGGGTCCCCATGTTGATATCTGACATCTCGTCCTCTCTCTCAAACTCATCCAACACCTCTGGAATATCGGGTGATTGAAGCCGTGAGTCAGGTGGAGAAAGGGGCTCGTCACCGAAATGTTCGGTAAACTTAGACTGCGACCGCTTGATGGTACCTGACCCTAGGAATGTCCGAGGAGCAGCAACGAATGAAGGAGGTGGTCCAGACGATTGCGTCTGGACCTTGAAGAAAGATTCATGAGACGGATTCGAGTGCTCAGGGCTGCGTTCATGGAAACGTTCACGATAGCTGCGTTTAAGCCGCGAGCTACCACGTCTGAAAATGGAAGTAAGCGTATTAACACGTCCGCTACCGTGGTCAGACAAGCGCCGGTCTGAGTCAATTGTTCGCGAAATATCGGATGTGGATTCTCGGCCTATGCCATAGAGTTGCGAAGAAGTTGGGCTATACAGTTCACGCCTCGACGGCGAATGAGACAGACTGCTGCCGGACATGCCCATGTCTTGCGAGGGAGCAAAGCTGCGACGCATCACAAGCTTTGGTTCCCGAATGGAACTATCGTCGATGTTACCAATGACATGCACACTATCAACGGACTCGTGGCCACGTCGCTCTGTGTCTTTGGAAGCACCTCTCAGCCAAGATCCAGGAGTATTACCGCCCAGGAAGGCATTGGTTTCATTTGTCCGAGGGGCATATTCTTTTGACCGATCAGAGACAGCCCAGCTCTCCGCGCCCGGCCGACCACGTCGAGCTAAAGATGTGTCTTCAGCCTCGCTGGATGGTTCTTGGGGAACGGCATCGGCTTCTGCTTCTGCTTCTGCTTCTGCTTGCCGTTGTTGTTCCGCAGCGCGTTCTAACTTCCGGTGGAGTCTGGCTTGATCTTCAAGTTGCTTCCTCTCCCTGCGCCGACGGTCCCTTTCGAGCAATTCCCTTAGGGCAGCGGCATCCAGGTCGTCGGCTAGCTTGTCTACTCTCTTCTTAGAACGCGAGTGCTCGTTGTGTGTGGCATAAGCAGGGGTCTTATCCTTCCGAATTGAAGGCTCAGACGGTCTTTGACTCTTAGCTGTCGGCACCCGAGGAGTTTCCACATAGCGTATGACCGGACGAGGCGTCCATGCAGCAAAGGTGTTAACCTTGAACGTATAGGACTCGAAAATATCCGAGAGTGAGGATGCAGCGGAGTCACGCATAGAAAGGCTGGTATCAGAACAATGCCGGTCGGAGCGTCGACTCTGGGCCCCATTAGCCCGGCGTGTCTCAATGGAAAACCGCTCCGCGGGTAGCGGAGAGTGACGGCGAGGAATATCGATGGGAGCAGAAGCCAGCATCCGTATTTCCCGTTCCCTGGCAATCTCGTATGCCTTGCGCTTACTCAGCTTCTTCTTTAACACTGCCGGACCATTTTCGTTACGCTTGGATTTCAACAACGATGCAGAGCGAGACAAAGAGGGTTGTTCGTGGCTCATGGTGGAGTAAGTAGTGTAGGCGTCGGAATGCTGACCAGCTCGGGAGACCGGGGCCCGGTTTTCTTTGATCGGGGTCGGCTGCTCACTGTGTGACGTAGGTGGAGGGTACTGGACGACAGGGGAAGACGTCGGATGAGAAGCATCGTGCAAAAAGCTCGGGACGACTTCAACAGGCTGGGCGTGTCTGTTCTTCTGACGTTTGGAGTGCTTGCGGGACAGTCTGCCGAGCTTGCCGTCATCGAAGCTGTGGCGAGGCTCTTGCGACGACTGGACATCCGCCACAGCAGGTGCATCCAGTTGGATTGTATGCCGCTTGTTCTTACGACCAAACGGCCATATCGCCATGGCGTCTGGTTGATGATACCTCGTCCCGTCTGATCAGTCAAACGTGGACACTGAAACTATCGGAGGTGACGTTGGACCGGGTGACTGGACTCATCAGGAAGGACCGAGGGGGAGAAGGATTAGACACGCGACCAGCAGGCGAATCTAGAGCAGATAGCAAGGCACGGGGAACAGCCTGAAATAAACAAAGCACCAGACAAACAGGGTGACAGAAGAAAAGAAGAGGAGGAACAATCCGAGGTAGCAGTTTGTCTGGAGATGGAGGCGAACCGAGACATGCAAAGCGGTGGGAAGGGACTAGGGTGCAGCGGAGCGTGTGGGTTGGTGTAAGTAGTAAGTAGAGTGTGTGTGTGTGTGTGTGTGTGTGTGTGAGTGAGTGAGTAGGCAGTGAAAGTAGTAAGTGCAAGGATGATCAAGGCGCTGGTAATTGGCTACCTGAGTAGTGTAGGTATGGAGACCGGGGCGAGGATCAGAAGGGGTCGTAGCAGGTGACTATTGGTTTAGAACGAACGGGTAATCGTAGTCAGGAAAAGTAGTGGGAATTCGGTTTAGTAGCAATAGTGAGACCTGAAGCCACGCCACATGGGGTGGCGGAAAATCAGAGATACAGAGGGGTGGAAATCTCGTTTTCCGGTCACAAACAAAACAAGGAGTTTAGAAAGGAGAAGAGAAACAGAAAGGAGTGGAAAAGAGGGGAAAGGGGAGGGGAGGAGGGGAGAAGAGGAAAAGCGAGAGAGAGACCCCGATGAGATGAGAAAGCGAGGAAGATGAAGAAAGGAGGGGAAAGAGGGAGAAGAGGAGAAAGGGAGACAAGACGACGAAGATGTAGAAAGATGGTAAGTAACGAGCGAAACGAGACGAGCAAAGAAGGGTAAGCAAAGCAAGCAAGTACCAGGTGATGAGCCCAACGAGGAGCGACAAGCTGCCTATCTTTCGCAGTGGATTTTCCTACTTGACAGCCAGAAGAGAAGCAAAGCAAAGCAAAGCCAAAGCTATTCTGCCTACCTCCTAGTTTACCGACTAGTACCAACTTACTATGACTACTTTACCTAGTAAGTACCTACACAAAACGGTCCCAAGTCGAGAGCGAGGGACTGAGAGGGCCGAGACACAAACAAACCCGCCCGTTTCTGAACCAGGGGATCTTCTCGGTTGGTTAGTGGTTACACACCGTCGA